CTGCTGGCTTCCCCACTGACTTTGGTTGTGGGAAGCCAGCAGGAAGTTGCCTCACCTAACAACCATGGGATTCAGTTAACAATGGCAACTGGGACTGCAGGGATTGCTGTCGCTAAATGATGTGGTCACACTTTACAACTGCATCACTTAGCAATGGAAATTCCAATCAGCTCGCTGAGAGACAGGCCAATACAACGTGTGGAACTATGGGCCAGAACAGTGTTTCTCAACCTTGGGGGCTTTTAAGATATGTGGAGTTCAACTCCCAGAATTCCCTAGCCCACATGCTGGCTGGGGAATTCTGGGAGTTGAAGTTCACAAATCTTAAAAGATGCTAAGGTTGAGAAACACTAGCCTGGAAGACAAATTACCCATAGAAACTTCGGTGCATTTGGAAAAGGCGGGATGGGAGAGCCAAGGCTATATTCTGTTTCCTTCCAGAGAAGATTTTAGAGACACCCTTTAGTTGTACAAGGGGGCGGAGTCTTTTTCCTGACAAACATACACCACTGCATTTCACTCACAAAATTAGGGTACCAGGCCCACCCACATTAAGACTATTAAAAACCAAACAAAAATGAAGAAAAGTCTGAATAATCTACCAGTGTTCTAATTCCACAAAAAGGACTTTGGTTTTCCTTTTGGACTGGGTCTGGGGTGTGGTACAAATGAAGTGCCATAGAACAAATGGAATAGCTGAAAGAAGGAAACAGAATGGCAAGGTAGGTCTAACATGGCCATCCAAAGCAATTTGCGATAAAGTTCATATATATGGAAAGTGCTATGAGATTATGTTGGTTTTGCTTTAACCCTTCTAGCATTTTGGAAACTTCATGTTGGCATAAACATCTTACATTTAGGTTAGTTTTCTCTTATGATGGAACTCATTACCATAGGATATGGGATTGAGAGATTTAATCATATTTTAGGATTAAGATTAAGGCAGCAGGCCTAACATTAGATATTAAGAATGATTTAAACGATAACTTGCAAGCAGTGATTTTTCCAATCAGATGCTAGGCAAAAAAAGTAAATGGTTATCACCACATTGTCCAGAGGCATCTACCTGACCCCTCTTGCAGATAGAAGCTGACCTAGATCTTTTAAGATAGGCAAAGTTCCTTATTCCATGTTATCTCATTGTCTACACATGCTACATAAGCAAAAGCATATATCCTATGTAATATATATATGGTGTATTTTGGTTAATTATCTAGCTAAACAGATTAGTTGGAGGGTTCCATATGGAGAAGAGAAGAAACTGGATTACATCAGTTCCAAATGTACTCACATGGCCTTGTAAGAAAATGTTGCTATAGAATCTATATAATGGAGAAGTCTGAGTAGTGGAATTACAGTTTTCAGAATGTTGATTCACTTGTTTTGTTGGATATTAAATAAGATTTAGGAAATCTTAATGCAGGAACATCATTTCCAAGATTGACAGATATCGGTACAATATGTCTTGTCCTTTTCTTGCTATCTAAGGAAGCAGCTAATTAATTTTGATACTGGAGTTTTCTCTATATGAATATTTACAATAGGCAATTGACCTGTGATAAATAAAAGTGATCTGATATTCCTTTGTTAAAGTTAAGGTATTGAAACCTTTGCTCCTAGAGCTATTAAGAAACTGCATTAGTACTTCCTATTATACTGCAGTAGCAGGAAATTTATCCTGGCTCCAAGGAAATTAGACATTTATACACAGTGCCACACTGCAGACACTTCTGATTTTAGGCTGAGACTGTAACCCAGCAAGGTTCATAGATGAGCAGAGATTGAAACAGTCTTCAGGGTATCTATACCCAAATGTCAGCTACTACATCATACTGATTCTCATTAGGGTGTCTAGAAAAATATTTCTATGCATAAGTTATGCATAGAATAAGTTAATGAAGGCAAGATTAAATTAGAATTTATCTTGTTGATACGCTAAGAATGTTGATTCAAGTCTCATTTTGATTGATGTTGACAATAGGAAAGAAGGGTGAAAGAATAACCTTTTAACAAAATAAACTCTTATAAGGTTCTTTACAAAAAGGTGATGTTAAAAAGAGCCATATATCCAGAATTAAAAAAAACTTGAATAGCTGAAAAATTGTTATTGAATCCAAGAAAATTCAGCTTTTTACCATAGAGAGATGATAAGATCAAGTTCAATGGAGAAGCAAAAGCATTAGACAAAAATGTGGGCAAAGACGACTTAAAATAATTTTTTCTTAACCATTTGTCATGTTATTGGATGTAAGTCACCCGCACTAGAATTCTATGTCTTATTGCCCCATGCTCGTTTCAGTAGGGGGGAGGGGAAGGGAGGAAGAGACATTCTATTTGCAACCGTATGTGGAATTACATAAATCTCTTGTATTTGGAGCTTGGCCAACAGAATTAAATTTGCTAGATGCTCTTTCATTTCCTCATCTGTACCTTCTTCCAGTAGCACTCCTAAAGAATTAAAAAATGGTTCCAAGTTCACGGAAGCTGTGATTTCTCTTGAGGCAAAGTATGTGGGCTGATGCTTCAGAGCCATACACACCTATTTCCTGCAACCTAGGCAATTAGCTAATAGTATAAATCCCAGTTTCTGATGTGACTGAGTCAGCAAGGGCTCAGCACAGAACACACACAAAGGAATTACCACCCACAAAACATACAAGTGGCTGAGCGAGAAGTGAAAAGTAACATTGAAGGAAAGGTGCTTGAAACAAATCTGAAAATATGCTCTGATCTTTCAACTACTGCCAAGGAACGAAACCACAATGTGCACTGAACAGGATGTCCTTCCTTCTATGTTCCCCACTTGGCTGCTTCTCTACTGGCCCATCTCACCGTAAGTATTAATTCTAAATTTTATTTTGTTTAAAGCTCAAGGCCACAATTAATTTATAAATCCTTCAGGTATTTTTGCTAATAGATGCCTATCTCTCAGGGGCCAAGTAGAAAATTGAATACTTTTTGTTATTGTGACAGTTCACTCTAGGATCCAAGTGAAGCGTTGTACAAATATTTCTACCTTCATTCAACTTTATCAGCACATTTTGGAAGCCAAGACACAGAATACCTTTCCATGGTAAAGATGGGTAATATTTTTGGAAAGCACAAGATGTCTGAGGAAATCTAACTCAGGGCCAGTCTATAGATTTGGCATCATCAACAGGATC